ATGATTGCAGAGTCACGTTTGTAGCTAACCGCAACCTGGTAACCCAGTGCCAATAGTCCTCCCAAAGTCGTTTTACCCACCTGTATAGAAAGATGGCTGAAAATTCTATAAAAGAAAGCGTCGAACCTCAAACTCCACTTTCGGCTTGATTACAAAATTTTTATCCACGATTCTTTGATCGCTCTCGGCAAGATCGTATCTTATCCCACATTGTCGCATTCTGATCCAATCACTTGGCTTACTATTCTCGAAAAGTGTAGGTGGTCGCAAATACATTTCGATGAACCTAGCAGCGAGACGGGTTATGAGCAATTGCGTAGCTAGAAACTTACTGTTCATGGCGAATTTTGGACGAGCTGAACAGGAACTCTAACGACGTCTTAAGCACCTGATGAAATAAACGGAGGAGGATACACCAAAGCTGCTCATTGGCAAAGTACCTGCTTCTCGCATTTCAAAATGTAATAAGGCTCTCGTAAAGAAGAAACAAAAGTGTTGCTAATTCTGATCTGTGTAGTAAAGACAGTTGGAAAATGCATTCACAGACACTCAGATTGGCGTACCTGGGCGTGATGGAGGTCAGGCTCTATGTGCGTTCTGAACATTGGAAATATGCTGTCCAGAAGATGATCCAGAGAAAAAGTATCTCCGATATCTCTCCGGACCTTGGATAGCAAGCTGAAATGCACGCCTCCTACCTATATCCCTAGATTTTCAAACTCGAATAACACGCATTTCCGAAAGGAATGCCTGTACTTACCACAGCAACTCGTATGTCCAAAAATGACCGCAATTTTGCATGCAATGCGTATGTTCCATCGACAATAACCTGCAAACCACGATTAGCAACATTCAAATAGAACTTCACATGAACATCGTACCACTCCCGACTTTGGAGCTTTAAGAGGTTTAAAGCCTGTCCGCTTTTTCTGCTGAAAATCGAACGATGGGACCGTGATATCCTTCCCCTTTAGCAAGTCCTGGAAAGAGAATCAGAAAGAATCAAAAGAACCGCCAAGAGCAGCCTTACTTCTAGATTTTTTATCAGCAAGTCGAAGTCGACTGAATCTTTATCGTTGCTGTCGTCAACAGGCAATCGAGGGTCATGATAATTCTCCATGGAAATGACAACGCCACCAAGAACCGACGCGATTCTTGCCGCCAAGCTGCAAGCCAGCCCGATAGAGTAATTTTGAAGAATAGGTAAGCAAAGTACCTGGTTTTCCCTGATCCACTGGGACCTCCGATGCCGACAGAGACTGAGCAATTCCTCTTGTCGCGGAGTTCTTGAATCGCTCTCACGGTCAGGAAATATCCATGATCGAAAGACTGGAGCACACACAAATCGGCAATCTCAGCAAGAAATTTCCATCGCAAGAACAAGGAATGCGATGACGCGACGACGAACCACATGAAGCGCGAGCGATTGGACCAGCGACGATGGCGCATGCTCCGAAATCGGCTGGTGATGCTGGCCAAGAACGCTGATCCCGTGCTGCTGCACGACCTGGTGGAGCGTCGCGTCGTCCATCGAGCCTCCTCCTCCAGCTCTCGCCAAGAAACCCTAAAAACTAGCTTCCTCCCATATTTTTTTGTCCCCTGGGACTTCCTGCGAAAGCAAAACAACAACAAATCTATACACACACTCAAAACCGTACGCTCGGCGCCAGGCGGCCCAAATGCCGTCTACCGTACCGTTCACCCCGGGTTTCGACCCTCGCAACAGTTTTTCTAACGGGTGAATATTCCCTGGAGTATCGAGCTGGGAGAAGCTGGATCCTTTCAAGCACCCACATTGCCCCATTCCCATCTTCTAGGGCTCGAGGCGGCGATGGAGGCGCGCTTCGTGTTCCTCCTCTTCCTTTGTGTTCTTCGGGCATCGCAGGCCGCGCGCTACACCGTCGGCGACTCGGATGGATGGAAGCCCGATGTCAACTACACGAGCTGGGCGCTGAAGCAGAAGTTCTACCCCGGCGATTACCTCGGTGAGTGGTTTCTCCTAGATCTTGGCAGATCTGAGCGAAATTTCGGCGATTCGTGTGGCAGTATTCAACTATCCCGAGGGGCAGGATACTGGTCTCGAGGTGAATCGCCGCGGCTATGAGAACTGCGCCTTCAGCAACCCGATCAAT